CTAAAGATAATTAGTGGTCACTGAGAGTGGAATATTATTTGTCATTACTGATGCAACCTATGTATTTCGAAGAAAAAGGAAATTATTTCTTGATAATTCCAAAAGTATATCAACAAATTTCCAAGCATGTTGTAATATAAAAATGACTACATAATTAAGTAAATTCTCATTCACAATCATTCAACATTCAAATAAGTTCTAAGTGAAATGAATTACTCTATTTTAGTCATGAAATAAGCTATTATGAAAAACTGTTATATACATATTTATCTTAATGTAGGTAATGAAATTCTAGTTGGGGAAGTATATTGCAATACAATGAATTTTAAACACTTGTGAAAAATTAAACACATCCAAATAAAAATAATAATAGCCACAGTGTGAGGCCAGGTACTAGTTATATTAATCAAAATTACTAGAATTATTTGTATCTAATTTTTTAGGGTTTAAAACATTTTGATAAATTCTTTAATAGAATAAATTCTGCTTTAGGAAGTATTTCATCAAATATAGATGTAAATATGAATATGAACAGTACTTGTAAACACTAATTAAGCTTCTTGATTTATCCAATATTGCTATTTGAACTACTGAATTAAAAAATAGTATATAGAATTTACACCAAATTGGATCAAAGATAGTATTTGCAAAATTTTATGTTAATTTTTATTATTGGAGAATATAGTAACTAATACCATATTATAAATAGGATGGCATTTTATTAAGAGCTCTATAAAATAAAGTTATTTCATGATATTTTCCCTATTTTCAGAAATTGGTTCTGAAATAAGACAGGGTAAATGGCCAGACTGTTACTATAAACTACTTAGAAATTTGTGGCTACTTCATTTGGGGGAGTAAATATCATGAAAAATGCTCTTCTCAGACTAAGTACTGAAATTAAAGCTAATTAAAAATTCATTAGCGAAATAGAAATGTATAAACATCATCTATCATCTCGTAAAAGACAGTGAGTACACAATTCATAAAACAATGTTTTGCTAATTCCTGTGTTGAATATCACAAACTGAATAGAAATGCTGCAATCATGTTAATGAAGATGTTGTTCTTTCCACATCAATGATGTGATTATATGTAAATAATTACTGTGTCTTTGAACTGGATATAAAATCAAAGAGCAAAACACTATTCTTTTAGGCTTTATTTTATAGATATTTTTGTAGATGAGTACAGTATTTACATCGAGGGGTAAGAGGTCAAAACAAAAGTCAAATAATCTTTTTCTATGCCCCTTGTCATCATGGCTGCTAACAGAGATTATTGCCTACATTTGGCATTTGGAGTGCATTTTCCCATACCAGTTAAGGCGATCAGGAAAATTCTCCAGGTGTAAATTCCTACTCAGGTGATGTTAATTTGTGGCAAGTTGACAATAAAACCAAACATTGTACATATAATTATTAGATAGTTCTTATGTTTTGTAAACATGTGTTCACATTATAAAATTAATACCCCAAGTAAATAAGAGGAAAATGCAAATACCCCAAATTTCCCTACATTATTAATATTCAAATTAAGAATACATTATTAATGTTTAAATTTAGCACTCATAAGGTAGAGAAGGAGGTTTAGTAGGGGAAGTCATTTGCTGAAATCACATGAGCACCAGTGTTAAATATCTGATTATGGCTACACACATGCCCATATCCTCAAGGTGGTGGTGGCTGGAGAAGCAAAGATCACGATGTCTTCCTTGCTGCCAGCCTAGCTTCAGGCTCAGTAAAAAAAAACTCTCAGGGAAATCAAATGGAGATCGAAAGAGCAAGACCAACAACTTTCTCTTCTGGCTTCCACATGCATACTGCACCACATCCAAATAACATATGCACACTGCATCATATCCACATAACACACATAACCCCCCTCTCATTCATGCACATGTGTGTGCATGCACACAAAAGCACACAGATTCATGTGTTATTGCCTTTATGTATAGAAAAAAAAAGATTTTCAAGAGACATGAACCCGTGTTGCACCTGATGTTTAATACATTTTCTACACAGATTTCAATCTTCTCTGACAACAGTGACACACTCTAGCTGTACAAGCAACCTGGGTTCTGTGAGCAACATGCACGTAAATCAGTTTGCACTGACATCACTCTTTTATTGATGTCCTAGCCAATGGGAAACTTTTTAGAATTTAACTTTGTTCAGTTTTCATCACTGACTCCCCAGACCTTCTTTCCAACTGTGCCATCCTCTCTCAGTGTCTCTTTTATGGGTGGATTCTGTACACCCGTCTGAACTATATGGGCTCTCTTTGAATAACCCCATTCACTCATGGATGCTGTTACTATATTAAGATAAGCATTCCAAAGACAGACCTATGATCTCATGTTCTTGGCTGTGTGTGTGTGTGTGTGTGTGTGTGTGTGTGTGTGTGTGTGTGTGTGTGAATGTATGTTTGCTATATAAGTTTCTAACAAAATAGTTAATACTCATTTTAACAAAGTTAGTATTTTTCTCATCATACTTCTTTCTTGCTTGTATGGAGAACTTCTGTGATGTACCTAGTTCTATTTATAGCTAAATTACCATGTGGTATTTGGGTTACATTGATTATATTCTAAATTATTCACACACTCCTCCCATTTCATAGCCATCTTTACCACAGGTTAGAAATACTCGAACGTGTTCCATTAAAAAAAAAAATCTCCCAATTATTGGTCATTACCTCTTAGCTTTACTCAGGACCATCTAATAATGGTTCTCCAAATATTTCCTAAAACATAAATTAGCTCATGTCACTCACTGCCCTGCTCAAATTTAAATACTCAGTCACTGATTTTTTTTCCAATGTCCATAAGCCCTGATTTTCTAACTTGAATTCTCTCTTTTTGTATTAATCTACAATTTAGAACACAGAGTAATGAGTTTCATTGTGGAATTTTAAAATGTGTGTATCAATATGCTTTGTTGCTATTTGTTGTCTTCTTCACTTCCCTCTGCCCCTGCTGACTGTTCCAACATAACCTCAAATAATCCCCTTCTGTCACGCCTCATAGATTTCACTGCTACCTCAGTTTCCCTCTGTCTTCTCTTTAGCTCACTCATCTCTTTCCATGCTCCCATTGCTATTTTCATTTCCTTCCTTCCTTCCTTCCTTCCTTCCTTCCTTCTTTCTTTCTTTGCTTGCTTTCTTGCTTTCTTCCTTCTCTCTCTCTCCCTCTGTTTTTTAAAGCTTTTTTTTATGATTAATTAATTAATTTAATGTGCACTGGTGCTTTGCCTGTATGTATTCCTGTATGAGAACGTCAGATACCTTGGAACTGGAGTTACACATAGCTGTGAGTTGCCATGTGGGGGCTGGGAATTGCACCCGGGTCCTTCAGAAGAGCAGCCAGGGTGCTTAACTGGTGAGCCATCTCTTCAGCCTCTCTGTCTTCATTTATTTCCTCTCCATCTCAGTGCATGATTTATCTTTGATTCTACTCTACTGACTTGAGAAGTTTTACATAAATGGATCCTTTACTGTGATTATCTTGCCCTCTTGTTCACATAACATCTACCAAATTATTTATGCTTCACATAAGTTCCTCCCTATACAGTAAATTGACCTTTTACTGAAGATATTTATTCTCATTTTCTAGTATTTTATATTAGTATACACTTATTGTACATAATGTGTTTCCTAAATACATTTTTCAGTCAAATGTATCATCTATTTGGACCACATGCATCTCTTAAATCCTCCACTTTTTCCTTCCCTTCTGGCCATCCCTTTTGTTTTCCAAAGTACAATTTTCTTAACGTGGCACACATGCACACATGCATGTATTTCTGTATATTAACATAAAATCATTGCTATTTATGTCATTTATATAAAACTGGTAATTATGACAAATATTTATTAACTTAATATGTACTTAAACATATTTGAAATTATTTTTAAGAACATGGTTGATCATTATCAGAAAATACCTGTGACAGTGAAAAGCTATCCCATCAGAGATAACCTTCCATAATTTAGAACTGCCTATAACATGTTATGAATCTCTTCACAACAAATGCATACTTGTTTTAATGACTAAGTGAATTTGTCAATGGAGGTGTGAATAATGAAAGCATACATTTTACACAAATGCTATTTTTATTTCAAATAATACAACTGGGACAAGGTCTGCTATTTGCTATGTGATCTTCAATGTTTTCAATAAAAGAAATGTCACAATTAACTTAGAAATATTTATCTGAAATCAGAGTCCTGGCACCACTAGAGAACTCAGAGGTAATAGGAAAAGGGACTTATAAGCATGAGGATAAGTCATCTTGCTTACCTCCTGTGAATTCACTCTGCACTTAAACAGTCTTTCGAGAACCTTACATTAGATCTGAAGACTATAAGATGTGCTCAAAATATATTCAGATCAAGCAATTATCTTGTTTTCATGTAAATTCCTCAAATTAAATTATATTTAAAAATTGAATAATATGCACAGGATCAAAGAGCACAAAAATAAAAAGATTATTTACAATGAACTGGGTGAAGACATAGTTTACGCACTGTGCATGAATGCACTGTCACCTAGAACAGTGCTAAGTCCATTTTTTTTCTTTTTCCAACGTAACTTTTTCATTTATTATTTACAAGTTTCACTTAAGGCATGCTGATCACATTCTCTTCCCAGTCCTTCTACGCGGAAATAAATACCAAGTCCAATTTGTGTTGTCCATATACTCACTGGATCATGGTCAAACTCCCAATGACCAACCCCTTAAAAAAAAAAAAAACTCTGAGTTTTTCCTCCCCCACTCCTTCCAGAGTCTATCAACTGTGAAGAGCTATGTAGATCAAACTTCCTCTAGTCCCAACTGGCTCCACGGTCCTGCAGCCACTTATGAAATAATCACTCAGAGGCTTAATACTAATTACAAACTATATGGCATATGACTCCAGCATATTATTAACTAGCTCTTATAACTTAATTCAGCCCATTCCTATTATTCTCTGTCTTGCCACGTGGCTTCGGGGCTTACCGGGACTTTCACATCTTGCTTCTCCTGGTGGCAGTTTGCAGCGTCTCCCCTGACCTTTTTCTTCCTGTCAAGTCCACATGCATTGAACCCATCATACTGTAGCTCAAACATGCATGCTCTGTATCATGGCTTACCTGAGAGATTGAAGTAGGAAGCAATTTTTGGTTCCATTTTAGAATATTTTTATTCATTTTTAAAACTTTCTCAGGTTGTGGGTGGAAATTCTTGCTACCACATCTGGGCGCCAAATATAAATAGAAGTTTCTGCAGTCCCACCCAGCCCCATGGTCCCATAGCCACTTATAAAATAGTTACTCTGAGGGTTAATATTAATTACAAACTGTATGGTCTATGGCTCTGGAACTTTATAACTAGCGCTTATAACTTAATGCAGTCCCATTCTTATTATTCTATGTCTTGCTACGTGGCTTTGTGGCTTACTGGTACTTTCACATCTTGTTTCTCCTGGTGGTGGCTCGCAGCATCTCCCCTGGCCTTTTCCTTCCTTTTTCTCTTCCGTTAACTTTATTCTGCCTTGCCATTGGCCAGACAGCTTTATTTGTCAACAGTCAGAGAAACACATAATCACAGCATACATAAAGATGTCCCACATCAGAGCTACACTTCAGCATCCCTATTTTTGAAAGAGTGCTTCAATAGCTTCTAGTCTAGATTGTTTCTTTTTTATTTTTGAGGTTGGTGGAGGTATGGTGGGGGATGTTATCATAGAAGTCTTCTGTTTCTCATTCTCAACTATGATTCTGAAGTCATGGATACCATTACAAAAGAAGCTTTCTTGTCCTTTACAGTCAGTGGCAGCATGGTTCATGGATTTCCACAGGGTTTCTGGTGACAGCACATGTTGTGGAATATTATTTTAAGATGAGTTACATTTGTTAATGCTATGTAACATTTGTTTAATGTTGTAAATATGTGTTGCATTCCTTTAAGTTGCATTTGTTTAACTCTGTGACACTGTGTTACTTTGCCTGTCTAAACACCTGATTGATCTAATAAAGAGCTTAATGGCCAATAGCAACGCAGGAGAAAGGATAGGTTGAGCTGGCAGGTGGAGAGAATAAATAGAAGGAGAAATCTGGGAGAAAAAGGAGAAGCAAGAGAGATCAAGGAGTGAGAAAAGAAGAGGCCAGCCACCCAGCCACATGCTCAGACCCAGAGTAAGAAGTAAAGAAAAACTTCTCTAGCACTGGGTTTCTCTATACCCCATGATGTCTCCTTCTATCATGGTATCTCTTTCATTATTCTCTCACTCTGTCCTTGTTCTAGCTCGACCATCCCATTCTCTCATGTTTTCATCTCCGACCCTCTACCCTCTATTGCCTTCCCCATCCCCAGTTTACTCATGGAGATCTCATCTATTTCCCCTTCCCAGGGCGATCCATGCAAACCTCTTAGGGTCATCCTTCTTAGCTCCCTTTTCTGGAGCTATGGGTTGTATCCATGGTGCATGAGCTGGCTTTTTGGAGCCCACTACCTAAGGTGTGGAGGTACCTTGCACAGCCTTGGTACAGGGGGAGGGGCTTGGACCTGTTTCAACTGAATACCAGGCTCTGCTGAATCCCCATGTGAGACCTTACCTTGTCAGAGGAGGGAATGGGAGTGGGGGGAGACTGCGGGGTGGGAGAAGAGAATAGAAGTAGATGTGTGGTTGGTATGTAAAATGAAAAAAATATATAAAGAAAAAAAAGAAATACAGAAATTGAGAAAGGTAAAAGCCCAGAGGCAAAGGGTAGATGGGATAATTTAAGAAAAGCTAGCAAGAAACAAGCTAAGATAAGGCCAAACATTCTTAAGAAACAACAGGACTCTATGTGATTTATTTGGGAGTTGGGGAGGGCAGGTCTGCAAAGAATAAAATATAAAAACAAACAACAAGAAGTGCCTTTGGTGGTAACAAGAAGCATGTTCATCAACACAGCATCTAGATGGAGCATAGATTATAGACACCAACACACCTCAAGCCACAGTGTAGACCACAGACTAAGTCAATTTTCTGTTGATTCATTTTATAAAAATTATTGAGTAACATTTTTACTCCAAATATTTGTCATGGGAAAAATGAGAAAATTATCATTATTAAAACATTTTGATCTTATCTGAGATCATGGGAAATTTTAGAAATGCCAAAACCAATCGTAGTTTAGTGACATAATGATAATAATTTGTTGATTATATTATTACTCCCTGATCAGTTGACATGCCTACATGTTCAATTATCAACATGCCATCGATATTTACACTTGACATGTAGAAAGCTGTCTGAAAAATAACAAAAGATAATAAGTTTTAAAAAAACTAAATTAAATGGCATTAAAATAGAGGACATATGGTAAATATTTGTCTTTCTTTTGATTTTTGTAGCTAGAGTTTTCCTGCCTTGCCCACATTCAGGACAAATCTTTATCACCTGCCAGTCCCACAGCCACTCAGACCCAACCAAGTAAACACAGAGATTTATATTGCTTACAAACTGTATGGCCATGGCAGGCTTCTTGCTAACTGTTCTTATAGCTTAAATTAATCCATTTCCATAAATCTATACCTTGCCACGTGGCTTACCGGCATCTTCCCATGCTGCTTGTCATGGCGGCAGCAGGCAGTGACTCCTTTACTCAGCATTCCACTTCCTAGAATTCTCCTCTCCTTGTCCCGCCTACTTCCTGCCTGGCCAATGGCCAATCAATGTTTTATTTATTGACCAATCAGAGCAATTTGACATACAGACCATCCCACAGCAGATTCTCATTTGTCCTAAGGATTCTGACAACAGAACATTTTAGAACTGATAGAAAAACAGGCTACTCATGCTTTTGTTTTTGTTGTTTTGCTTTGTTTTATAGTAACAACAACTAGGCAGTGTGGACAATTGATTCAAGAAGAGTAGATTCTTATGAAATTATAAAACTTTGTTAGAATTCTGAGGGTACCCTTTAAAATAGAAATGAAACCTTCCATCTGGCAAGGTTTATTGTAACAGTATTAAACAGAAAAACTAAAAATGGACAACAAAATTGCAAGTTTAGAATTTTAACAAAAATATTTCCATCTCCTCCTTATATAACTCTCCACTTTTTGAAATTCCTCTTTTAACTCTGCTCAAACATCCCATGGAATTTTGTAGCTCCTAGCCTATCACAGACTAAACAGAAAGAGTGAATGTGAATTTAAATTCTTCCATAGCCTCTCAAACTACTCATGAAAAGATGACTTCTCCATTACTCACACAGTTCACATTTAATGAGATAGTATTGTGTTTACTAAATGATAAGTTTTTTTATTTTATTTTTTTCTTTATTTTTTTTTATTTTACAATACTATTCAGTTCTACATAATAGCCACAGATTCCCTTGTTCTCTCCCTTCCTGCCCCCATCGCCTTCCCCCCAGCCCATCCCCCATTGCCACCTCCTCCAGATCAAGGTCTCCCCCGAGGACTGGGATCAACCTGATAGACTCAGTCCAGGCAGGTCCAGTCCCCTCCTCGCAGATTGAGCCAAGCGTCCCTGCATAAGTCCCAGGTTTCAAACAGCTAACTCATGCAACGAGCCCAGGACCTGGTACCACTGCCTAGATGCCTCCCAAACAGATCAAGCCAATCGACTATCTCACCTACTCAGAGGCTGGAGAGATGGCTCAGCCATTAAAGGCTAAGCTCACAACCAAAAAAGATAAAAGTTTTAAAATGCTTATTTAGACAATTTTAACAAAATGTCAATATGTAAGATTTTAGTGCTATAAGTGACTTTTTGGGGTAGGATTTCTTTTGAAGATTAAAGTAAAAGTCATTTAAGTACAGATATATTTACATTAAATTCTTGAAATATTCAGGACAGAAATATTGAGTGGCATCTAAATTTCATTCCAGCTGTATTATTCACCTTCAGCATAGCTTATTATACCATGATATATTTCAGGGCATTTCTAACTGAGATTTTCATAGATGTATGCATACAAATCTTAAAACCGATGATGACTATGATGTTGAAAGATCCCAGATCCACAGGACCAGGAGAATATGATAACAGAGGACTAGAGTCAGGGAAGATGGGTCAGCTGGTGACAGTGGTTACTGTGCAAGCTAGAAGACCTGAGCTCCAGTCTCCAGAACCCACTTCAAAATATGAGTATGTTACCCTGAGGGACTGCATGCTACCTGTGAGGGAACACAGGGCAGAGAAAGGAAGACCCTTGGGCTTTTGGACTCCAGCCCAGCTTCAGATTCAGTGAGAGACCTGATCTGAAGTCAATAGGCAGAAAGTAATAGAACAACTCACTTAATATCATTTTTCTTTCACTTGTGTTTATATGTATGCACATCCAGACCTACATGTGTGTAGCTGGAGGGCTTCTCTCCAGGTTCCCCAAGCCCCGCAGTCCCACAATCCACTTATAAAATAATCACTCAGACGCTTATATCACTTATAAACTGTATGGCCGTGGCAGGCTTCTTGCTAACTGTTCTTTTATCTTAAATTAACCCATTTTTATAAATCTATACCTTGCCACGTGGCTG